TAACCTTTTTATTTATAAAAGCAAAAGGTCCACATTAATGTTAGTCCAGTCTCTGAAAACTAAAACTAAAAAGCCAGAAGTCTTTTGTTTCTGGATTTCTGATGCCCTTCCCCTTTTACTTTGACACCTATTTCTTCCTACCCCCTACTTCTAAAGGTAATGTAGTGTTAGAGCAGCAGAAACATGCCTCACTGCTCCTTTTTAATAAAACATTTTTTCCAACCTTTTCAGCTGGAAAAAGGAATGGGTAAAAAACAAGAAAGAAAAACGTTTTTGTTTCCGTCCCCCCAAATCAACAAGAAACTTAGTCCATTTGGAATGACATCTTCTGGTCAGAGAATTGACAAATCTTAGCTGAACTTTGTTTTCCCATGGAGCTCCTTTGCTAAATTTCCTAATAGCTGCAGTTTCCAACCAAATAAGATTGACCATAACAGATGGAAGCAAAGTAAGCAGGGGAACTGCAGCCTGTCTTTGAGCCTGTTAGTTTCTGGTTTTATGTTTACTGTGGCTTTGGCATTGTGCTGAATGCTGCACTTAAGACAAAAAGGAGGAAGCTGAAAGGCCTGGAAAAAAAGGGAAACTTTTTTTTGTATCTTGCTTAACAGGAAAGAAACAGAAACCCGCTGCCAAGAGAAAAAATTTACACTAAACGTAACATACCCTCTGCTCCCACCCCACCTTGTGGTGGACTGAGTCTTCCCTGACTTATCCCACGAGTCAACAGAATCTGTATCAACCGTAGCCATCTCCCTGTGCCACCACTGCAGTCCGCAGAAAGTTAAGATGAACATGCTAATGGCAACAGCTTCACTTTACTGCATGACCTAGAAGCGATGATTGAGAAGCACGTGCTACTTGCTCAGTCTTGCCCCCAACCCTTGGCACGTAAGGACAATTTACATACCACACAACAATAGCCTTATCCTGTCACAAGGAGTTTCAACAAAGTTTAGCACAGTTCTTCTAAATTCCAGCAGCAGCACATCTGCCAACACAACAAGGGAAGTTTCACATTTTCAGTTATCCAGATCCAGCTGTAGGATGCACCTTGTGCCAGCTGGAATAAAGCAGCTGCTGAGTACATCCCTGGACATCCAACCAATTCTGACACCTTGGTAGAGATGTACAATCTATCTGATAATTTTTGAGCCCTTCGTAGCCCAACAGAGGTTTTTGCATCAACTTCAAGGGGGCTGGGTTTCACCAAGAAACTTGTTCCTTGGGCATTTTTTTTTAAAAATCAAAGGGTTTTTAGACGCACCCAGAGCAGGGTTAGAGGACTCATTCTATGCAGGGGATTTTACAGTGTGGCTGCTTTCAAGATAAGGGTTGGATTTTCTGATGCAGGAGAGTCTTTCCAGTTTCATGTTTATAAATAAGATACTAGGCTCATGGATAAGAAACAGAATAAGTCAGCAGTGAACCCCTCCCACACTCGGCATACCTCCTTCATTAATGGGCATTGTAGAACATTTATACTGTATGAAATATTCTGGAACCATTCAAAAAATAGTGCCCATGTGGGTGTGCTTGGATATGTAGCTATCTATAGCATACAGTGTTGTTTACATTTTGCATCAGCCTGAGTAGATATTTTGACAGTCTTAACAACCAAATCAATATGTTGCACAGCACAAAGACTGAGGGACTACCAAATCTCAGACTCAGAAGTTGGGTTGGTTTAATGGAATCTTCTTTTTTTTTTAAATATATTTTTTATAATTTATGAGTAAGGTTTTTTCCATTCTTCTAAACCTCACACAGCTGAAACGTTTTTTCTTGCACTTTCCACCAAAATAAATGTTTTCTGGGTAGACACCCCAAGCATGGAAAATTTCAACCTCAAAAGGTAAAACTGTAAATTAAAAGGAGTAAAAAAAAAAAAAAAAGGGACAAATACCAATAGTAATAAAATTCTTTAATCACTCATGAATGATTGCTAGGTTAAAAAGTACCAAATAAAATGTACACAATATCATATGGCAACCCCTAGATAATGCAGACGTTCAGAACAATTTAACATAGAACACAGACTTCACTGTGGTATCAAAGAGATTGGCAGTCTGGGGGTGTCCAAAAAAAGCAAGTAGAGAAACTCAGGTTTCAACTTCAAAGTGACCTTTTCAACTTACTGTAAATGTCTTTGTAAAAAGAGAGAACCTTCAAGTCATCACTAATGGGCTAACCACACCCTCGAGGGCAGGGGAAGCAGATACTCAGTGAACCATCTGTTCCTGTGAGCACTCTGCAACCCTAAAGTTCAACTGTCCAAAGTTTTTCAAAACTAGAAACACAAACTGTGTGCAGGGAGGCAGGGGAATACCAGAACGGAGGATTTCCTGTTACAAAGAAATATTTATAAACATTTTTAAATGGTATCTTCTGTGTTCACTGAAAAGAATGTACTTCCTCTACTTCTAGCTCTTGTGCTCCATTCACAAGATTCTCTGGCTTTGAAGTCAGACCTGATGGGGGTAGCAGGAAGTCCACACAGAAAAAGAGTTGCAGGACCAAAGGACTCTCAGAAAAATGTTTTCTTTGCCTTGGGAAATGAAAATAGGTCTGTGGCATGAAGGCCTTCTTTATGCAGACTGTTGAGAACTGCCTGGGGACTCTGGAAAAAATGGATTTTTCTCTTAAGCATTTCCCTCATTTTAAGGAAAATCTTGCTGAGGCTTGGTTCAGAGCGAGGCTACTCACTGTGAGACAGAAGCAGTAAGACTGGGCACTTATGTGTACTAGCATGTGGGCGTCAAAAACTGAAGCATCACTGTGATCTTGTTTATAATAAAATGTTTAAAAACAACAACAACAAAAAAAGATTTATCAGTCCCAACTCTTTCATTAGAAGACTGTCTTTGTATAAGAATATGAACTTCCACAAACCATTCACCACATGCAGCATATCAAAAATGGTTTCTTTCTAATGCATGTGTATCCAGTCATGCTACAGACTAGCTCACCAATGGTGTTCAAAGCTGTTTGATGCATATGTGCGCACACAGTCAATCCTCAATCCTGGTTACCTTTGTTCCAATACATGCATCAGAGATGGCCATGGAAGGCATCTTCTCCAGAAGCCTCTTTCTTTAGCATGTATAATGTAATTTCAGATGTGTGCTGAGGGGCAAGTATAGCCCTTTATCATTCAACAGGAACTAGAAGATAATATCCTAGTGTCTATCTGAGCATCCCATTCTCAAGCCTGTACTTACGACTGCATTAGTTTGAAGGAGGACACAGACACAAGAGTTGGATCTCTATACAAATGGCACTGACAGGTGGATACTTTGGTCTTACAGCCTTGAGGAGGGATGTCATAGTAGTCTCCAAAATATAATTCAAAAATAAAATAGGATTTGTGCAATTCATCCTCTCTTATAAGAAGTGTGTTGCTAGTGCAAACCAGCCTTCTTCTCTTTCCTTCTCCACCTGCTGAAGAGAGCAGAGATGAGACTATGGCATCTCTTGACTCTCAGACTCATCAGTTATTACCAATTCCTACTTAATACTTAATTCCACATCTGTGGCAGCTGCTTTGTAACACACCCCTCCACTATGGACACTTCCCAAGAATACAGAGGTTTTTCTGCAGATGGCCCACATGACAGCACTGCTCTGTGGAGGGTTTTTTCAAAATTTCCAAGTTTGGCAGAAGGAGAGAAGAGTCTCACCCTAAATCAGGACACTGGAAACGTAGAATCTGACAAATTTCCTCTAAGGTTTTTCAAGCATTTGTGCAAGCAAGTACATACAAAGGGCAAGCAAGCTCTATTCAAGCCTGCCAGCTACCTAATGCATGGCCCTGTCAGTGCATCCCAAGCCTCACTTGAAACCTTGCCTTGCTCTTTCAGCCACTGGCTGCTCCTCCTGAAGAATGCCAAAGGCTCCCTCTTCTGCAGAGTACAGTATTGAGTCCAAACACCCTCTGGGAAGATTTGGTCACAGCATTACTTCATGTGTAATTGTACAGTGTTTCAGATCAAGGGACTGGTTTCATTATTGCACTGTGAGAGATCCTTCTGCATGTTGTTCAGACTCTGGTCTGTTATCAATCAATGTACAGTATTTACTGGAATCCAAGATGAGGTCCCCCCTCCCCACTGAACATGCTGGGGAAGCCCCTCATCTTGGATCTGTGTCTGAGGCATGAGAGGGCAGGCAGCTGTTGAGGCTCTGGCTCCAACTCAGGATCAGGGCTGCCTGCCCCCCAACAGCCTTGGTCCCCCCCATCTCTTCTTCCATCTTCCCCTCTGCCTCCTGCTTACTTGTGCTCCACTCCAGCAGGCTCTGGCTCCACTCCAGCCTGGGGCACAGAGCATGTGCTTGCTCTGGACCCAGCCTGGCCCACTAGCAGCAGTGGTGGTGACGGTGGCAGCTCCAGCGGGCCCTGGGGCTAGAGCTGCCACCTTGGTGTCACTGCTACAGGGCAGGGCTGTGGCCCTGCTCTGTGCCCCAGACTGGAATGGGCCCTGAACCTGCTGGAGCAGAACAAGGGTACGTGTGGGGTAGGATGGAGGGGCAGGCAGAGAAGGTAGAGGTGGAGGAGGAGCAGGCACATGGGGACAAGTGGGGTGGGAGGAAAACAGACAGTAGGGGTTAAGCTGCTTGACCCCTCCCTACTGCCTCCCCCACCGCCTGTCCCCCCACCCTCTCACTGCCTTTCTGCTGTAGCAGCGGGGTTGGGGGGACAAGTTTAAGATTACCCTCCAATAATTATAGTCTATATGTGGAAAATTATAATGAATATCTACATTTTCCACATCTAAAATTCTAATTATGGGGGTGGGTGTGTGGGAGGGTCATCTTAAATTTAGAATCGTCTTGGATTGAGGTAAATATGGCAATTACTGATCTCTTTGCCTTTACCCTGGTCTAAAGAGAGCAGAATCCAGCCTACACTGTCCATCTATATTCTTCATTATATACACTGACCATAGCAGTGAATGACCTTGGATTGAAGATTATTTTGACATGCAATCAAATGTCAGTCTTACCTTTGGCCTCTGATTGACAGGAGTTAATCTCACACTTCCTGAAGAGGTGCTTAATGGTGAACAGGCCTTACTAGAGGCACCTGAAGTTCTAAAATATATATAAGGTGGGGAAAGAAAGAGGAAGTGAATACTATGGCAAGGTCAAAAACCTCTGCATCAACTTACCAAAGCAAACAGCTTTTAGCAAAACATGTAAATCATTGTCATGAACATTTCTGAAGTGCCTAAGGCAGGCAAACTAGAAAGAGTCCGCTTGAAAGAGTGGAGATCTAGGAAACGTGGCATATGGAAAACAAGGACAAAAGAACAGAGATTCTTTAGTTTGGGGAAGAGAAGCCTGAGGGGAGATTTGTTAACAGTCAAATACCTGAAACAATGTTCTCTGTGCTTGAATGGGACAGGATAGTAACTGTCTTGCATTGAAACAGGGGAGTTTAGGTTGGAAATGGAGAAAATTTTTTTTACTATGACCATGGTCAAGCATTTGAACAGATGACTAGAGAGCTTGCCACCATTTTAAGTTTTTAAGAGCAGACTAAACAACGCCTTGTCTGGTACTATTTAGGTAGGGATCAGCGTGCTCTGAGGAGGGAGTTGGATCAGATAGCTTTCTGAGGTCCCATCCAGTCCTATTTTTCCAATGATTCTATGAAAAAAACCCTGCTGGATTGGGAAAATCCAGCTTTGTGACAGAAATGGGAAGACTTCTTTCCCCAGTAACTACTCAAACATACTGTTAAGAGGGCTACTGTCCATCAGGTCAACCTGTTACTATACAGTAAAGCCAGCCCCACTCTTACATTATAGTGCCTGTAGGGTTACCAAAATGCAGCCACGAGCCCCTTCGATGTGACCCACCACCCAGGACTGCTCTTTTAAAATGGCTCTTCAGGGGTGATACTCTGGGTACCCTTGCCTTAGAATACAGCAGAGGGGTGGGGAAGTGAACAGCAACTAGTGCTAGTTGGCTTATGTTGCATCATGCCCAGAACAGAGTTACCTTCCTCCATGAGCAGATCTGGGATTTTGAAAAGGGGGTACAGATGGCATAGTACATCACCACAAATAACAACACACATTTTTCTACAGTTAAACAGAAACTATAAGCTTTCCTAATATGCTAGGGGTTTAGCACTATATTATTCTATTTAAAATAAAAGCAAAAACAAATGCAACTTTATTGGAATGTGCACTAATTTGTTAGAAAATATATATTAAGTTAAAAAAAACATAAAAGCTAGGCTAAAATTTGTGAAAATAATCAAAAGATATTGCTTCGCTAGTCTTATTGTCACCATAGTTAAATGTACAGTTCTTATTCAGATTTGTAAACAAAATCTAGCCTTCTTGACCGTGGCTCCAGTACTTCACTGTCAGTCATTTCTACACTTGACTTAATATTACCACACCTGAGATAAGTTTTTTAGTCAGAACTAAAAACAGTCTGCAGAGCTGTGAAATAGAAGAGACATTATATCAGGAATGGCTAACAGACAGCATAACTGTAGATGACGCGGTGGTTGACGCAGGGAAAAAAGCTGTTGGTGGTTGATGCAGGGAAAAAAAGCAGAGCTCTTCAATGAGTTCTTCGCTTCAGTATTTCTATGTACCGACCAAGCCAGTTCCCCCACCTTGATCATTGATGGATGTCTACATGGCACCAGTCCGCCTATGGTTAGTTCTGAAATAGTTAAGGAGCTCCTGGAGGAGCTGGATGGGTACAAGTCAGCAGGCCCAGATGACCTCCATCCATGGCTGCTGAAAGAATTGGCCAGTCTCATAGCTGAGCTGCTGGCACAGCTGTTCGAGCACTCGTGGTGCTCTGGCCAGGTCCCTGAGGACTGGAGAAGGGCCAATGTGGTGCCTGTTTTCAAGAAAGGGAGAAGGGATGAGCCGGGTAACTTTAGACCAGTCAGTCTTACCTCTATTCCTGGGAAAATGCTAGAGAAAATAATCAAAGAACACATTTGTGAAGGCCCAGCAGGGGAAACGATGCTGAGGGGAAACCAGCACGGGTTTGTCACAGGTAGATCCTGCCTGACAAACCTTGTAGCCTTCTATGACCAGGTCACACACTGCCTGAATGAGGGAGCTGAGGCTGATGTCATCTTCCTGAACTTTAGGAAGACCTTCAACACAGTTTCGCACCCTATCCTCATTGGGAAGCTAGCAGACTGTGGAGTGGACACCTACACGGTCAGGCGGGTGGCCAACTGGCTTAGGGACTGCACCCAGAGAGTGGTGGTGGATGGTTCCTTCTCAGCCTGGAGGGAGGTGGGCAGTGGGGTCCCACAGGGTTCGGTCCTC